TGTTGGTTGCAAATACCATAGTCATGTTACATGCAAGATGTTGTAGGTATGCTGGTAACTGGCCATTAATAAGTGAATGGAGCAGCAGTGCTTTATAGGATAGAACGTCAATTTATTGGTTTATCCTTTTTAACGACAGCAGTTGGGCCACTTGCACTAGAGGCCAATTCACAGTGATGACAGCTTTTAACATGGACAACAACTGGTGATTGATGACAGCTTTCAAAATAGATGACATCTAGAGATGGTAACAGTCCATACGAATGTCGGTACAGCTCTCATCCTCATTTTCATTCCTATTTTCAGCCCCATCACTTATTAATGATAAGAATGAGAATTTTTATGAAAATTTTTTATGGAATCAAGAATACTCTTTGTCTCATAGCGTGGAGAATGAGAGTTTCCATACGTATATGATTTTTTTATTAAGACTTTTTATATTATATTTTTAATAATTTGTTTTTTATCTCTTATTTTTTTTGGTAAAGGGTCTATACGAAAATAGGTACACCTCCCATTCCCATTTCCATTTCTAACCCTGTCACCTGTTAATGATAGAAATGAAGATTTTTATGGAAATTTTTTACGGGTTACACTTCCCATCCTTATTTCCATTTCCAGCCCCATCACCTGTTGATGAAAGGAATGAGATTTTTATGAAAATTTTTAATGGAGTAAAAAATATTCTTTGTCTCATAGCGTGAAGAATAATAGGTCACATAGGTTTATGATTTTTTTTATTAGAATTTTTATCTCATATTTTTAACGACAATAGTTAGACCACTTGCACTAGAGGCCAATATATGGTGATGACAGCTTTTAACATGGACATCAACTGGTGATGGATGATAGCTTTCAAAATAGATGATATCTAGAGATGGTAACGGGTCCATATGAATGTCGATACACCTCCCATCCCCATTTCCATTTCCATTTCCAACCCCATCACCTGTTAATGATAGGAATGAGGATTTTTATGGAAATTTTTGATGGAGTACACAACACTTCCCATCCCCATTTCCATTTCTAACCCCATCACCTGTTGATGATAGGAATGAGGATTTTTAGGGAAATTTTGACGGGGTCAAAGATACTCTGTCTCATATGGTGAAGAACGATAGGTCCCATAGGTATATGATTTTTTTACTGAGAATTTTTATATTATATTTTAAATAATTTGTTTTTTATCATATATTTTACTAGTAATGGGTCCATACAAAAGTAGGTAAACTTCCCATCCTCATTTCCATTTGTAGCCCCATCACTTGTTGATGATCGGAATGAGGATTTTTATGGAAATTTTTGATGGGGTACACAACAGTTCCCATCCCCATTTCCATTTCCAGCCCCATCACCTAATGATGATAGGAATGCGGATTTTTATGGAAATTTTTGATGGGGTACACAACACTTCCCATCCCCATTTCCATTTCCAGTTCCATCACCTGTTGAT